TATATTTATAATTTAGTTAGTTATATTTAATAATATTATTACTACTAAGTATATCTTTAATCTAGTTTCTTCTTATTTATACTTAATTAAGTATTAGATATATATATCTAGTATATCTTACTTCTTTTCTTATTTAATAATTATCTTCAGATTATCAGGTTATTTTATTAATTAACATAGTTAATATAATCACTGTGTGAGGTCTTAGATTTATCTAATTTATTATTAATAACTAATAGGAAGACTATAGAGTGTTCTTTATCTTAAATAATCTAAGTCACTAATACTAGTATAGCAGAAGTATCAAGGGATCCTAGGGTCATGACAATTTAATAATAAGAATTTAATTATTTTTATTATCTTTAACTTATTTAAAATATAAAATTAATGATATTTATAAAAGTAATTCTTTATATAAATTCTAAATATATATATAACTTAATAATACTTTTCTTATAATATATTATTTTATTTTTAGAATTTAACAAAGATTTTATCCTTTTCAATATTAGAATATTAATTTATAATAAATAATCTCTACAATTTTCTTAGATAAAGAATTCTTAAATTTGATAAATTTTTTAATTAATTACTTTTTCTTATAGTTTTACTTTTTAAATAGCTTGTGTTTATTTATATACTTATTATTTAAATATTTAAATTTTAAAGTTATTATTATAACTTAAGAAGTAAGATTATAATAATAAATTAGAATTCTCTTTATTAAATTATAGAATTTTTATAAAGATTATATTTAAATGAATTTTTCTTATATTTCTTTATGATAAATAGATCTTATTTTTTATATATAATGAATATATTAAGTAAGTCTAGACTCTAATTATTTTTAATTTAAAAAATTTAGTTTAAAAAAGTAGAGATCTATCTTTATATTAATTTATATACTTATAATAGATTATTATAATAAAGTAATTGGAATTATTATATAATAATTTAGAAATACTGTACTAAGAATTAAATAATATACTAGACATAATAATAAAGAATTATATATTAGATAGTAAGAGGAAGCTTATACTAAAACTAATTATTAATTCTTAAAAGAATAAGAGGGTCAGGAGCTTATATATATATAATCTATAATATCTTTAATAACTTAGCGCTTATAAGTCTTGACAGGCAAGCTACCTAAGATTACTATCTAATAGCAGGCTCTTAGATAGGTTAGTCTACTTTTGACTATATCTAAGTCTTAGTTTACTTTTTTTATATAAAAATCAGTATATTCTTTTTAGATTTTATAGGTTTTTACTACTAAAACTATACTAGACCTGTATTTAGTTTAATTTCTAGAGTTAGTTATTAAAATCTTAACATTTTAATTCTAACCCCTTTAGAAATTATATTAAATTAAACTAAATAACACTCTAAGAGAAACATATAATGATTATAATACTCTTTAATTAATATTAAATATAAAAAGAAAGAAAATTTTTTTTTTTTAATATAAATTCTTAATATTTATATATTATAAATTATTATTTTATTTCTATAAATATGGTAGTTTAATATACTAGAATAAGAGTAGAAAACTACCTATAAATTATTTTCTTAATTATTATACTTATAATTAATATATAACTCTTCTAGATAATAATAAAATTCTTTATTAGTATAAGAAAGCTAGTAAATTTGGATATAGGTAAATAAGTATAATTAGATTATAAAATTAATATTTGATAAATTATTATATTATAAGTCTTACAAAAAATCTATAAAGCTATTTATGAAAAATTTTATAATAAAAAAAGAATTATATATAAAAAAGAATATACTTATTATAAAAAAATAATAAAATAAGTAAAGAGAAAAGAGAGAAAATAAATAAGCTTGAAGATTATATAAGACTTATTAGATAAAGCTCTTATTAATTTAATTATAGATTTATTTTATAATATTATAAATAATACTAGAGCTCTTTAATATCTATAATTCTCTTTTAAAAGGAAAATTAGAAATAATTAGATATATATTTTTATATATAATTATATAACTCATAATAAGAAAGCCTGTATATCTTTATTCTATTTAAATCTATATAATAAGATAAAAGCACTTATATAAAGCCCTAGAAACTAAAATTATAAAAAAAAAGAGATAATATTAAATAATAATCTTGAATGATCTATTTATTAAGACCTGTAGATACTAAGTTATTAGAAATATTATAAATTATACATATATATATATACTTCTGACTCTCTTATTATTCTTTATATCATTTTTTATTACTACTTCTAATATATTATCTAACTCTTAATATAGTATTCCTAAATCACTATTAAAGTGTTATCTCTAATTTATAAAAACTAATCTAATTCATACTAAATCTGTCACAAGTTAGATCCAGTTGGAAGGAATTAGAATTTATAGTAGATTTAAATTCTTAAGATAGAATTCACAGAATTTTAGTAAAAATCATAGAATCTAAAAAGTAGAATTAGCTTGATTTTATCTTTTTATATAAGATATTTAAGTAATATTCTGATATATATATAAATTTATATAAAACATATATAATAGTTTAAATACAAATATATATATATTTATACAGATATTCTAAAGTTAGTATTTTTATAATTTTTACTTATAAATTAACTTACTAAGCAGGTTTCTTAGATATGTTAATCTACTTTAGATTATATTTTAGCCCTGATTAGATTTATCTAGATAAAGATCTTTAATATTTTAGGTTCTGTGATTTTTACTATAAAATCTATAAAAAACTGTCTATAAATTTAATAGCTTAAGTTAGAATCTAAATCTATAATAAATTAGGTTTTACTTAAAAAGAATCTATACTAATCTACTCTGAATAACACTCTAGTAGTAGTCAAATTAATATCAAATTATTATATATTTGATTAGAAGTAGTGTTGGACTGGGTTGGTTTGAGTTGGATCAGTGCCCCAATAAATCAGTTTATCAGATTGGTTCTCATAGAAACTGATCCGACCCAATCCAACACTAATTAGAAGATATATAAAAAGATAAACGAGTGTTAATATAAGTTCAATTCCTAGTTGAAAAAAGTCTATTAACTTAAGTTTCTTCTAAATTAGGACTAGTTCGTTAACTAATATATTGGAAATAACCCCATGCTCTAGTTAGGGTGGGAGGCTTGATCGGGAAATTTCATAAATATGCTATCACAGCTCTAGTGTTGCCTGAGGCTGCAGCTTAATACCAAACCCCTTTGATGTGAGTGATGGATATCTTAGGATGCTGTTTCCCTCGATCTTTATTAACTCAATCAAACAGAATCATACTAAAACAGTCAAAAATTACCTAAATAGGAAGAACGTAAAATGGATCCATCTTCTAATCCAGTTGTTTTCTTCGATATAGCATTAGGTGGTAAGTCCAAAAATATTCCACATTGATTCAACAAAGTTTCAAAGCCTAGCTTGCGGCGATTGCCGTGCATGGTAGTACTATTATACAGGGAAATTATACTCTGTATAATAATCAGATCGATGTTCTAGGCTGATGTATTCATTGACAGGGGAGCCTCTTGGGCGTGTGAAGATAGAACTTTTCGCAGATGTAACCCCGCGAACTGCAGAGAATTTTCGTCAATTCTGCACAGGGGAAAGTAAAAACTCCCAGGGACGACCGCAAGGATACAAGAATAGCAAGTTCCACCGCGTGGTATGTGCAAACTGATGGTTCATAACATGGATAAGATGACTTACTCAACTCAAAAGATCAAGGATTTCATGATCCAGGGGGGTGACTTCATCAATGGAGATGGCACAGGATCCTGTTCTATCTATGGACTCTCAAAATTTCCCGATGAAAATTTTGCTATAAGGCATGATCGTCCTGGTCTCCTAAGCATGGCAGTGAGTATCAACCCGTGTTCAGTTGATTCGATTGGGAGATCGAGAAAACTACATAAAAAAACTAACACATACAGAACTCCGGGCCCAATACAAATGGCTGCCAGTTTTTTATAACAACTGTAGCAACACCATTCTTGAATAATAAACACGTGGTTTTTGGCCAGGTGGTCAGTGGAATGGAAACTGTTAAGATGATCGAGAATACTCGAACTACCAGGGATAAGCCGAATCAGGATGTGGTGATTGTACAATGTGGAGAGATGTGAGCCCAGTAAAATTACGTGTAGACATAGCTCCAAACAAACAAACCAAAAGAAAACAAAAGCGAGGTCGGGCCTTCGAGCTGTTTGATATTGTACCAAACCACATGAGACATTTATATCATTAGACCATATACCGACGCACAAGGACTAAATCTTGAATTTACCAAGATACTCAGTCGCCAGTGAAATGGCCTCCTCAACCTGGACGGGATTGTTGCCATTTCCAATGCAAGTGGCTCCTTTACCCCCCGCCTTGCCTCCGACTGCGCTGGAAACAACGGCCGCCCAGTCATTCGCTGTAGCTCCCTGATCCGAAAAAGCCTATATTCAACAGATGTGTTAATATTCATCCTATAATGGAACTTGACAATGACAATCGAACCTTCGAAACATGGCAGCCATGTGCAACACGCCCTTGGTCAGGATCTGCAGCCAAGATGTACACCGTTTTATCTTGCATCTTTGATTTGACATAGTTGAGGGTTTCGCTCAGAACCTTCGAATTGGCTGAAATCGGGAGCTCAGCGACGAGCCACGATTTCTCGGCGTTCTCTGGTGCCTGGAAATAAGATGTCACAGTCTCAAGTGCTCTCTTGGAATCGAGTTTCTGCTGCGCTTTCTGCCCGTCAAGAATTTGCTTGTTGATAGCTGCAAAACGTTCTCGAAGCCTTGACTTGTGCACAGCAGATATCGTTAGCCGACTGAGCTCAACTTGCACCTGTTTAGCCTCCTGTTCCTTTTCTGGGCCCGGACTCATTGACTGTAGACGTTCCAACCGTTGCTCAAAGTCTTTGGCTAGTCGTTGGACTTCATGAGCGTCCTCGCCTGTGACTGCAATCATTCTGCGAATACCTTTCGCAATTCCAGCCTCCTCTATGATGACGAGGTCCTTGATATCGCCGGTTTTTTGAACGTGAGTCCCTCCACAAAACTCGATGCTAACCTCTTTCCAACGAGGATCATTGACGTTCTTCAGAATCTCTTCCAATTCCACACCAACAGAAACAACGCGGACAGGGTCTGGATAGGTCTCTCCGAAAACAGCCCGAACGCCTGATATTTCGCGAGCAACAGCAAGGGAGACTTCCTGTGAGTAAACAGCACAATTTTGTCGTATATAGTCAGTTGAAATTGACTCAATCTTTTCCAACTCTGCATCGGTGACGGCTGCTTTGTGTGAGAAGTCAAACCTTAACTTCTCTGGTGCAACAAGAGATCCTTTCTGTTCTATCCCTTCTCCAAGAACCTCTCTCAGGGCAAAGTTGAGAATGTGGGTACCCGTATGATTATTGCGGATCGGCCAGCGGCGTAATTCGTCATACTCAGAGATAACAGTGTCGCCTACCGCGAAGGCGCCATACTTCATGAAGCCGGTGTGAAGGACATAGCCGGCATAGAGCTGGACGTCACCAACTTCAATTTCAGCCTTCCCGTCGATAACAATTCTGCCAGTATCATTCTCTTGCCCACCTTGTTCCGCATAGAAATTTGTACGGTCCAAGATAATACCAATTTGCTCTCCATCCGATATTTCCTCCGTAGTTGTGTGAAACGCATTCTTATGGTATAGCGCCTTGATTTGAGCGGTGATGTTTCCTCTCTCGAATTTGGCCGAGTCATCCGTTTTTGGGACGTCGTTCATATTTTCCAATTTTCCAAGATCATGGACATCCAGCTTGACTGTGCCAGTTGCGGCCCTTTTCTCGCCCTTGCTCGCCTCTTTCGCCTTGAGACGGGCTTGTTCAAACTCGAGGTCATCGATCTGCAACCCGCGCTCTTCTGCCATGATGCGAGTCAAATCCACCGGAAAGCCGAATGTATCGTAAAGTCTCCAAACATCGGCACCGTTTAGTTTGTCGCCGCCATTGAGTTTGGCCTGCTGGGCGTATGTTTCGAACTGCCTTTCGCCGCGATCGAGAGTCTTCGCAAAAGAAATTTCTTCTTCGTCAAGTATTTCCTTGACATCATTTTGTTTCAGCACCAATTCCGGGAACATCTCTCCAAGTTGATCAACAACCGTTGGAACAAGTTTGGAGAAAAAGCCCCCAATCTCGACCCCGAAATATTTGCGTGCGTATCGAGCACCTCTGCGCAATACTCTCCGCACGACGTATCCCCGTCCTTCGTTATTGGGAATCACGTCATCCGAAATTGCGAACATTAGTGTTCGAACATGATCAGCCACAACCCGGTAAGCAGTGTCAATACCGTCGGAATCATCATTCCCAAATAGTCCTTGATATTCTCGGGCGCCAGTTGCGGTTCTGATAGCTTCAAAAAGTGGCGTAAAGACATCGGTGTCGTAATTCGAAGGTTTATTTTGCAAGACCGAAACCAGCCTTTCGAAACCCATCCCCGTGTCGACATGCTTGTTTGGCAGGGGCCTCAAGGAGCGGTCGGATTCGCGATTGTACTGAATGAAAACGTTGTTCCATATTTCAAGAACATTGGGATCGTCCTCGTTGACAAGCTTGGCAGCATTGCGGCCACCGATCCTGTCAAAATGAATCTCAGAGCAAGGGCCACAGGGACCTTGATCACCCATTTCCCAGAAATTGTCTTTCATGTTGCCTGGCAGAATGTGATCTTCTGGGACCCCGACTTCCCTCCAAATACCCTTTGCTTCCAAATCTGGCTCAAGGCCGCCCTCTTTGTCGCCTTCAAAATAAGTGACATAGAGACGCTGGGGGTCCAATCCATATACTACGGTTAAAAGCTCCCATGAGTAGCGAATCGCATCTTTCTTGAAATAATCACCAAAGCTCCAGTTGCCAAGCATTTCAAAGAATGTCTATAGTAAGGTTCATGGTCAGTGATCGCCCCCAAAGTATACTTGTGAAAGCAGATCCGAGTTGAACATACGTGATGATAGCTATCCTTGCCCACATCGTCAAGGTCCTGATAACATGTCAGTGCTGGTCCGTAGGAGGTCAGACCTGCTTTCACCTACGTTATGTTTTCCGCCAGCACGGATGCACTGCGCATGTATTAGTATCGCGCAAATACTAACGTAGCGTTGACATAGAGGAAAGCAAACCTTTTGGGAATTAACAGCTCTTTTCAGCTTCGCGAAATCGGAATTCGGATCCACAGTGCCTAGGAAAATAGATTTATACTGGTTCATCCCTGCATTGGTGAATAGCAAAGTGGGATCCGATAGAGGAGCAACCGAAGAAGAGGGCACTGGTAGGTGAACAATGTTAGTATGCGACCAAAACTATTGGGGGTTCAAACATGAGGAATACCGAAAGTGTGGCCATTTTTCTTGAAATAATCAAGAAAGGTGTCCCGAACATTTTTAGCAGTCCAATCTGGACTTCCTTTGGAGTCTGAAGCCATTTTGGTGTATGCTGGTATAGTGGTTGTGTGAGGGGCAGTTGGGTGCGGGGATGTGTGAAAATTGTAGGATGATCTGGGTTTTAACCTATGAGGCGATAGTAGATGAGTCAAGGCCAGTTCCCCGTCCCTCAAGACCTTGAGAGCCCGCATCAAGTCAACCAATCAAGAATGCATCCAATTCTATGCTGTTTCGTTTGCTGATAAAATAATACCAGGGCATAGATATAGTCCCCTTCCTTTTTTTAGACTGAAAGATCACTCATAGGTTGAACATCAATCACCGATGCGACATGGCTGATTGCGCTCGTGTTGGGGCTGGTGTTGGCGGAGGTGCCGACAATACCGGTGCATGTCACGGGAAAAAGCGGCCAGCAAAGGACGACCCGGATGGTGACCAACCTCTTGCCAAAAGACTCAGCCGTTTACACATAGGTGTGTGCTTGACCCTACGTTCTTTTTATATCTATATAAAATCAAAAGCATCATTCTTATCATGTGATAGATCCTACAAACCAGAAAGTTTTCAATCAGAATGACGCTGCTCTTCCGCCCTCTCCGTCAAGACCGACCGATATGATGATGCTAGATGATACAGAGCACACTATCTACATCCATGATTTGGACCGTGAATTGGCAGAGATCGAGTCGTCTGAAGACCCCTCTATCTTTCTTCCAGGTATCGGGGAAAAGTTAGCAGTATTCCCCAAGTCACTCGTTGCCCAGAGCAAACCAAAGTGCCAGGCACTGGTGCTTTATCAACAACCTACATCACCGTCAATGCCAAGGGACAAGGACAATGCTGGGAAGGCCTTGGCTGAAACTCGAGAGCGAGCACGCAGTCTATATAACGCTTCATCTCTGGATGAGCCACAACAAGCTCACCTGAGCCATAGACATTGTGAGCAGGAGGGTATGGATGTGGATGATGATCCTTAGCAATGTATAAATATTGTGAGGTGTCGAAGATATAGTTATTAATGTATAATGCCCAAATCTTTTTAGATTACTCTTGAAAATCTGTTATGAGGGGTTGAAACTTGGCATGTTTGAAGACTTTCATTGGGGTACAGAACATGGCTTGACAATATTCCAGAGTGTATTGTAAACTTTAAAACCACCACACATGGATCTGCGTGAGTGCCTGATAAGAGATTTCTAATCAGGACCCTTAGTATGTTTCATAACCGCTGTCTATTTTACCACCATGTACGGAGTAATGTTGTCAAGATAAAACCTGCTTATTCTTCAGGACTTACGTACTTGCAGATACGAGTCCATCAATGTTAGTGTGGCGTTCTGAGTGGATGCAGCCTCCATCCGGCCGGGACTGCCTTCGGGTCCCCGAATGCGGCCAGCTTGGAGGATTTGACGATGTCCACCAAGTACCAGACACACCGCTATGCGATCATCACGATTCCATTAAACTTTTAATGTAAACCAGAAGAGATGGGGTGTTTCGGATCGTTACCTGGCTGACACTTGCCATGTGCAAGTAGATTTGTAGGTACAGCGTGTTATAATAATGAGTTAAGGCCGCACATAGGTAGGTACCCAAGGTGGCGATATCCTGGATATATAAGGTAACTGGGCGGAGCTTATGCATTGACAGTTCGCTTTCATATGATTGGTTCTGGACACTGGGACAGCGACCCCTATATAACCAGAATTGGATGAGAAGTACCCACTGTGTAGTGTTCCTCAAATGCCCATAGACCAGTCTTGAAAACTGACAATCACCTGATTGAAAAGACACTTGATGTTTATGAATGTTGTCTATTACTCGAGGGGTATTTGCTACTATTATGTTGCACACACCCATTTCCTCATCGCGATCTGAATAACATGCCTGACGCAACCGACACAATAATATCGAGAAATTCCAGCAAAATTATACCCGAGCTATTGGAGATATCTTCATGCGGCTCCGTTGACACGCGGTTAAAACCAAATGCACCGGGCATTGAAACATGCCCCAATAACGACAGAAACCCCTTTTTATCGAACGGCCAGGATACAGTATACTCTACACTGGATTCGAAGACACTAGTACAGCATGCCGGGGAAAACCCTGCGGCAGATAAGCATGACCAACAGCGAGATCCGGTCCCAAATGAAGATCAACCTCAGATTGGTTCAAGAGCGCGCACTCTCCATTCGATGATAATCAATGAACCAATGGAATTGCGCACGAGCGATTGTGCACCTCAGCTCGTGGAATCTGCGAAACTGTCACCTCGCAAGGAGCAGTCGAATGCTTCCCATATTGAGTACTCGCTAAATACTCAGACGGCCGGGCGTCATTATGACAGAAAACAGTCATTTTGTGTCTCTGGGTTGCCCGAAACCTCCTCCAGTTGCATTACAGACTCTGGTGACTCGGAGATCCTGGTTCCAACGCCTCCCCACTCTCTCGTTCACCCAGCGCACGACCGCACAAGCGATGGTTGTCGACAGATTAACGCTGGGCAATTCTCGGGTTGTTCCATCTCTCTGGCTGCTTCCTCTGCAGATAGCCATATCAATGGCCAAACTCTGGCGGCCTTCCCCCATGAACAAGTTTACCAAACTGTAGATGACTTTGCTATCGGCAAAGAAGGGGGCCTGCCTGACAGTGACCCGAACTGTCGTTTGGTAAAACCGGCTTGGTCAAGCGAATCGAGACATGCATCATCTGCGGATCTCCAGTGGGAACTTGACGATTTACGGCCCCACGAAGAAGATGCCCAAACGAGAGAACATGTCATGACTGGAACCAAGGGCTCTTGCCTTGTACCGGCCACTGTTGAGTCTACTGAAGCTGATCGGGCATCAACTCCAAACATAGACCAACGAAGTTGCGAGACCACGCAAGTAAAACACATCATAACTCCGCCAATGCTAGGAGACGATCTTGTTTTCCCCCGGAGCGTGTCGCCCGAGTCGACACTATATGAAAGTAATAGGCCCCCTAAAGGTGGTCACCTGTCCCAAGTAAAATCAAGCAACGACTGTGGACTTTGGTGTATGGACGATTGCCCCACGGACAACAGTGCCGATAAGGGTCTTTGGATGGGGACGTGTAAGGCTGAGCAGCAGAAACACGATCTTCATGACTCTTTTCTACCAGGTTGTTTAAGCCATCCCCACGTTGCTAAAGGGTCATGGTCACTGTCGGATGAAACCTCATCAACGAGAGACGAGTCCCGACTTCCTGCCAGCGGCTCTGGTGAAGCCCAGGTTGTTGATGATGTGGAACGGCGGCTTAATTGGCACGAAGGCCCCAATTACGAATGTAATGATGAGTTTGTTACTCAGATTTATAATTACTTATCATTAGGATATCCCTGTGTCGCTCGTTATTATGATCATGAGCTCGGTGAAGTTTCCGGGATCTGCTTGGCAGAACTCCGGCAGGATGATTTGAATACGGACGCAAATGGCTATGTCGGGGTGGCTCAAAGTACTCCAGATGATACGGAGCCAGGAACGCGAGCTTGTATACGTTGGATAGCGCTGCGCCTATATATAAATGAATGGGCTAGGCAACAAACCAGAATGGCTAACAACAGTAACAACCATGGTCCTTGGGGCGTGCAGGAGCGAAGGGAAAGCTTGATGTTATAACATATCTAATAAAGCAAGTTAAACCAATAGAAGAATAAGATATTCTGCAAGATCATCAGGTAATCATAAAAGACCTTGGTGCTAGTCACCAGGTTTTTGGCATTTGAACCACTGCTGTGGATTGTTTGTTCCCGTGGCCTCGAAAAGTAATTTGGAGACTTTTAGTCCATGCATGCCCTTGGGATAAATTACATGGGCGCTGACTTGCTGGCCTTTTTCCATGTTTGAAGATGAAACGTTGAACGCGAAGAGTGCTGATTATATGGAAAATCATCCAATATATTGTGGGTTATCAGAGGCAATTGAATCTCATTAAGTAGGCACTTATTTCTGTCCTGTTCACATAGTCCGTAAGATAGCAATGCCTGGTAAAAATCATCCACTATTCGCTATTGGATGTTTTTTGCCTGCTCTGATTTTGACCCTTGTCAACGTTCAGAATTCCACCCTGGTGGAGATTCACGAGACATCACCCGGGAATTCGCCGTGGTCAGAGATTCCATGGTCTTGATCATTCCCAGCTGAATTTTGCGTTGGAATATTGGTCCTCTGGGCCCTTTCATGGACGATTCCAGGAAAGATTGTTTGTTCTGGCAGATCATCGGGCCTGGCTACAGTTGCACCCACAGAACCAGTACCGCTGATCGAAGGAGCAGATTCTCCAAGCAAAGCACTTGGAGGGAGAGGGGTTGGACTAGGACTTATGCCACATTCTCCCGCAATGCCTTGCATTTTCGGCCCGGTGAAAGGCATCACTTTGGACTCAGGAGAATTCGGTGGGTATTCTACCACTTGATTCGCCCCCTTGGACACAGCTGTTGTGGGTCATTAAATGATCTCGCAGAGGAATGTGGGAAACCAACCGTGATTTACATCGTTGCCCTTATGTGAGATCGGTGATGAAGGTGTAAAATTGATCTCGTCTATATTCTGTTGTTTGGCTGGAGTGGTAAGTTCGCCGGGCATGCGAGTGTAATACCGGCCGATCCTAAAACTCAATTAGCCGCCGCCTTTTTAACCCCGATGGTGAAGTTGTATGATTGGGATTCGATTTTCTTCTTCCCCCCTGTTTTGGACGCCCATGGTGAGGGTAGTCGTAAATGCCGGTGTATAATGGGTGTGGTGTGAAGATCCTTACAGTTTCAACTCTTGAACTAATGTTTCGTGACGGAATTCTTCTCGAATGTCGGGGACATTGCTTTTTGCAACATTATTTCCTGCAACGCCTGGGAGGTGACAGTTTGAACCAAGCCACCTCTTTTTCAAAGGAAGTTCGAATCCACTTTGTTCAACAGAATGCTTCGCGAGCTCACACATATCCACAGCACTAAACTTGTAGATCTGGGCAGCAACTGAGTACTCTTCGATCAAGGGTTCTTTGGTGAATGCGAATTGCAATGGATCATCAGTGGATAAAGATATGTTCAAGCCCCTCCTGAAGAAGCTTGCACATGGGTTCTTGTCATAAGTTAGGAAGAGCGCATTGTTACTCAATGGTGACATGGCAACTCCAATTTGGTCAAGATAGTAAAGATACTGCAACAAAGGAACCTTTCTGAGAAGGATCCCGTGACTGATACTATGACAACAGAGAAACCCAACTGCGAGGTGGTCAGGGTCTCCTGCTTCGCCACAATGTGGCCGTAGGACGAATGTATTGAATCCGCGTTGCTTGCGCCATATATTGAGAGACGCGATATTTGCGAACATGAAGTAGAGCCAATAGGTGTATGGCGGATTCTGTTTCGTACTCCATTCTTTAGGGATGGGGTACTTCCTGTATAGTCGTCGCTCTGCTTTGCTCTCATCGTCGACACTGTCAAATCCAACAACGCGTTGCAGGAAAATGTGAAGTTTCGGATGACTCGATGGGTTCTCGGTGACCTCGAATAGTGGCTTGAAAACATTTGTGATTACCTGCTCGTAATTTTCCATCATGCCACTCGACTTATAAACGTCATAAAGTCGAGGCACTTGGATTAACCAACGAACATTAGGTGAGAACAACTTGTTATCCACAACCCAGGCGGCAAGTTTGTCCCATTCTTCAATGGACCTGCCGTATATTGAAATGCGCCATTCTACCATTTGATACTTGCTAGACTCTAAGTCTGACATGACTTCCTTGGTAATCTCCGCCAAATAGCGTCCTTTGATATAATTGTCAGTTTTCAGGAATATCTCACGCAGTCGAGATTCTCCGACAGGGTTATATTTGAGGTTAAACTTGTCGAACCGGTGAAATGAATCCGTGTGTGCCTGTTGTCGGAATTAGCTGGGGCGAAGGTAATCGGAAAAGTTTTGTAGACATACATGCATGTCGAGGGTATCGATACTCAAATCATAAGCCGTCAGGTTAATACTTTCAAAGACCTCCTTCAGGGTTAAATGTTTCCCGTCTCTGAACAACACCACCTCATCTGGAGACTTCTTCATCTTGCTTTTTATGAATCGAAGCAAATGTTTTTGGTTCATGCATGCTGAATGATGAACGTGAGTGTCAACTTTGCGAACATTGTAGAAGTCCCTGTGAGGGACTTTCTTGCTGTCTGCCATCTCCTGGTACTCATTTAGCAATGTGTGCAGTTGGAATTTGCCCTCCAAATACGAAAGCCGTTTGAATGCAAAGCTTTTTGCGGGACCGTCGGTGGAGATGTCAATTACTGCATCAAGGTCCATGTAGAAATCCCGCAAAGATGGTATCGGGACGACCGGTTGATTGCGGCCAGCAGCATCGTCGCTCTCATACACCTGGTACACACTGTTGTGGTCTAGCTTGTAAACCCAGCTAGACTCAGCCGGAAGAGGGAAGCACTCTGCCATGTCGAAGTCTTCACCAATGTTTTGTCCCATTTTCCTCTGTTTCTGCTCCGTAGGCTGATAGTCATTCGTTTTCCCGGGTTCGTTACCCCCGTCCCATGCCGGTTCCGGGGGAGGTGGATAGATTTTCCAGGCGAGATTATCCTTTGGGTTGTCTTCGGGGCCTTGAAGTGATAACCCGATGTACTTTGATCGTCGATCAAGCAACCCCCACAATTTGCGGCAGATGACGTTCAACTCAGAAGCAACCGGGTTTCCATCAGCTGCAACCTGCGCTGCTCCTTGATGATTGCCTAGTTGCTCAGCTGGAAAATGAGCTTTCGAAGCATTCTCATCCCCACTGCCAGCTTCCGAGTCACCCTCGTGACTGTCGAAGGTTCTAAGAGGTGCCTCATGGGAGGAGCCAATACTGCCAGGTTGGATTATGGGTACAGTAAAATTTTCGCTAATCAGTGGTTGGCCTGTGATGCTACTTGGTGTAGTGCTGCTAGCTCTTCGGTTCCCGTCGTCTTTGACTTCATTTGCGAATCCTGCATCACTTGGCGTACTAACAATGTTCGAAGTAGAATGATGATTTCTGGATGCATTGCTTGAAGATCGGTCACCTTCAGGCCCTCTCGACATCAGTTGGTGATGCCGATAGAAGAGTTTAGCTTCAGTATGGCTCATGGACTTCTCATACGCATAATCGTAGGTTGGTGTTTTCTGCTGTCTATCCCTTGGTAGAACGTCCTTGAGGGAATCCGCCTCGGACGCAGGCTCAGAGTCTCTGGGTGTTGCTGGATCTATCATATCATCATCATTGGACATCATCCTTTGCGCGTCCATCTCTGTGTAATGGACTCCCGGAGAATACTCATTTTCCGATAGGGATGGGGGTGCATTGACGATATCAGGTCCGGGTTTGGGCTCTAGATCGGCGTGCGCAAAAGACATCTTATGACCGAGCCCTATTGCACGTGCAATCAAGTGGTGAGTGGTTAAGAAAGTCAATATCTCTGTCCTTTTTAATTCTTCTCTTGTTCTCAATCCAAATCCCAGGTGTTCACCGCCGAATACCCTTTGTTCCAGTTCCAACTGACGGTGTCTCAGAGTTGAGGCTCGTCACGGGACAAAGAATTCTGCCACCGCCCACTAGTTGATCTCCTGCGGGGCTCAATGCGGGACCTTCAGACTTACCAGCGTGTAACATGTAATATTACTTTACTTACCACTGCTGCGTACTTGGTAAGACACGTGGTAATGGAATACTGAAGTATCAACTTAATTTGTTGTACTCCGTACAGTGTAACAGGCTTATCCCGAGACCCGCAGTGGAAAACAAGTCCCACCTGTACTGAGTACTTACAAGTACTTACTGCTAAGAGGTGGTCAGGTAGCACCCTTTCCCCTAGCGCTGGAGAGTAGGGGATAGGAGCCGCCTCATGCTATTGACAGGTAAGGAGCACCTATTGTTCCGGATTCCGACACACGGATTGTGACGTACCAGTAACCCAGCTCCTATACAACTGTCCATCTTTCAGAAGTACCAACCTCAGACAGATCTAGTATCTCCTCGAGGAATCTCCTTTCTTCAAACTTCCTCGCAGCAGAGACATATATCTCCTTTGTTCGCCATACGGTCCGAGTTGTGCTCCATCCGGACACCTGTCTACTTGATATAAGGAGACAAGCGCCACAAACAGGCTTTCTTACCTCATACCTCCATTTCCCCAAACACAAACTCTCCATTAATCGGCAAGGCTTTTCCAAGTTATTCATTAGAAAAGGAACATTCGGAAACTCGAACCCGGACAATGGCAACCATCAATCTGTCATCCAATGGTCCTTCCATATCGAAGAGCTATCAGAATGTGGTCAACGCGGCCCCTAAAGCTGGCGGCTCCCCTACCCATGGACAGTGGGCGGTTTTCTCTGTCTCGACACCTCTCGTAAATGCATTTCAACGAGATTCCGGGAACAAAGAAAGTGTCCTCAAGGTTCAAAGCACGGGAGGTCAGTCCATAAACTCGCATTGTTCCTATCAGCTGTCAATCCCCAGAACGACGCCTACAGAACAGAGCACCAAATGCCGATGCTGACAAGTTGTATCAAAGAGGGCGAACTTGCGGATCTTGTGGATGAGTTCTCTGAGGGCAAAGTCCAATTTGCCTTTGTTAAGGTCATAGACCCAAATACTGGGCTACCCAAGAATGTTCTTATCGCATGGTGTGGGGAGGGTGTACCCGAGCGGACGAAGGGTTACTTTACGAGTCACCTTGCTGCTGTGTCAAAGTTTCTACATGTGAGATCACCCCTTGCACTTCGATTGGGACCATTTTGCTGATGTCTGTACACTAATCTCCAGGGGTATCACGTTCAAATAACGGCACGGTCCGATGGCGATTTGACCCCCGAAGGTATAATCCAGAAGGTTGGAGATGCATCTGGGGCGAAGTACACATCGGCAACAGATCAAACTCCGGCCCCTGTTGCTCTCCCCACGGCTCCAGCCAAGCCTGTTTTCACTCCTGCACGTACCGGCGGCCTTGAACCGAAATTCGTAGCGACTGTCCCTGAGCGCAAATTACAACGAACCAATGACGACGATGGATGGGGCGCCGATGCCCCCCCGGTCACGAGGAGTCAACTGGAGAAGGTCCAGCCAGCATACAAACCGACTAAAGTGAACATGCAGGAGCTCAGATCAGAGCGATCACCGGCGGCGGATGCTAGTGCTCGACCCGTTGAAGATTCCAGTGACGTTGTTAAAGGAGGTTATCAACCTGTTGGAAAGGTCGACATTGCTGCCATCAGGAGACAAGCGCTCGAAGCTGGTGGTCCCAGAGATGATAGACCGGAGCCTGTCAGAGGCTCATACGAACCGGTCGGCAAAGTCGACATTGCTGCTATCCGTTCTAAGGCACAGAAACCAACGCAATCCCCCGGAGTTCCTGATGAGAAGCCTGTGGTCTCGACTGATGCACCCGTTAAATCATCTGGGGTGTCTTCAATCCATGACCATTCGGAGCGTCTGACGAGCCTGCCGAAGCCGAAAGTCGCCAAAAAATTTGGATCAAGCCCTCAATTTCCCGGCACGAAGCCACCTCTCCCTAGTGAACCTTCGGCGACCCCAACTTCTTCCACGGCAGCAATCGGCGGTGCAAGTCGTACTTTTGCTAACCAAGGAGGAAAGACCCCGGCACAACTATGGGCGGAAAGAAAAGCCCGAGAGCAGGAGTCGCATCCCGGTTCTTCATCGCCTAACCCCACGGAACCTTCAGTACAGTCTCATGAGAGTGGCGCAGCGGGATGGAAGAGCTCATATAGCGGTAAAAGCTGGGCGCCTGTGCAGACCACTGAGGCAGCCAAGTCTACTGGCCCTGCCGATTTTCATCAGGCCAATGATTCTGCTTCAGAGGCTCCAGGACCACAAGATCCGACTGCGCCCAACACTGATACACTTCGTGGTCCGCCTACCCACGACACGACCTTCGAAAAATCGACTGGCAGTCCAGAAACAGGCCGCACTGCATCATTCCCTGGCGTTCAGACAGGACCCGTACAGAGGGAGGCTGAATACCCGGCAGAAGTGAGGCCTGAATCGCCAGCTCCGCCCAGCCCACCGGCGCGTGAGACTTCTCCGATCCGTATTGCAATCCCCGTCGGACAAGAAAGCTCGGATACGCACGCGGAGCAAAGTGCGCCTTCTCACGCCATCGATGCTCAAAGCACACCCACCCTGGATGACTCGAAACCTGATCTCCATGAGGCTGAGCAACCGTCTGCTGGTGTTTTTGCGGCGGACCATCCTCAAGAAAGTGGAATTAAAGCTCTGGTTCAGTATGACTATGAAAAAGCAGAAGACAATGAGATTGAGCTTCGAGAGGGTGAGTTTGTTACAGAAATCGAGATGGTCGACAAGGATTGGTGGCTGGGCACAAACTCCCGCGGCGAGAAAGGCCTGTTTCCGAGTAACTATGTCGAGCCTGTTGATGACAACGAGCACTACGCCCATCCATCGGACGCAGATGTGTCGAAACATGAAGCAACTAGCCCAGCCCCCCCGGCCGAGATACCAGTTCCCGCAGCTGAGTCTCCGAGTAAGGAGCATACCGCTATTGCCCTATATGACTACGAAGCAGCGGAAGACAATGAACTCAGTTTCCCAGAAGGAGCTGAGATAACGAATATTGTATGTTACTACCCCCAGACCAACCATCTTCATCCCATTTTGTTTTCCATGGCCGATTTTTTTCATGGAGACAGCATATTTCTGACTGCTTGCAGGAGTTTCCAGATAAAGACTGGTGGTTTGGTGAATACAACCAGAAGAGGGGCCTCTTCCCCTCGAACTACGTGCAGTAGCATGTTTAGTGTTCATAAGTTTATTGCATCTAGTATTTAGTATTCAACTTGAAAAGAATGTGACTCAGTAGCTGTTATACGACCGACTCGCTCTTTCCCTTTGTCTCGTTATCCGTATGTAATTAGCTGGTGGTAGCCGGCAATAGGAGAATTAAGCTTCTTTCCCCCCTTTTCTCGCCTACGCGTAGCTTTGGCGATTAAGCCCCGCCGAGGAATTCAATTATATCATTGTCGACGTGATCGGGACTGGGGACTTAATCGAGCAAGCCTGGATTGGAGGTCTTGATTCCGTTTGGTGAGATTAGAAAACTATCTTGTGTTCCGTTCTTTGCTCGGCTTGATTGGTCATATAATCTAAAAAAACTAACTATCATTAGGAACTAATCATATTTCTTCAACTCGAAGTATCGATACATTTAGAGAATTTAGGCTAATCTCGCTGTTCTCGGCTAGCTAATCAACGCACAGACAATTGATATGCAATGTATATTTGCAGTGGATCGGTGCTCCCATCGGCAGCCATACAACGCAGCTGGTCTTGATCCCGTATGGCCTTTTCAATATGTTCCCCTTTTCTAGACGCATGCAGAATTTTCGCTAATACAGCGTGGGTCTGGAGAATTGCGGGGTGGGGCAACTCTATGCCTGAAGACGTCTCGAAATGAACTAATCTTCTACCTTTCTGGTCAGGTGGTGGCAGGTGGACTAATAGTCCTGACGATTGGAAGTTTGGGTATAATTCAATGTGGTACGTATTTTCGATTTCCTGTTTACATTGATACCAGTTCAAAGTGGGGCCATGTAGTGTTAACTAACCGTTGATTCCAAGGAAAACTCAAGTTTGCCAAAATGCTCGTGGAGTGCTGAAATCATCGTCATCGCATTCTTGGGGGTGTTGATGGCATCAGGCTCCAGCTGGGCGAGCCGATACAGTCCCGGGAATATGGCATACAATGTTGCCCATTTCTGAGCAATATCCCTTTCCTGCATTTTGACATTCAGCATTCTGCTGTTATAACTTGGAAGATGGTGCCATTACTCTGTTAGTGTCCCCCGAATAACTCCCCAGGCTGAACGGAATGATGTGTACTAATTGGGTTGGTGAGGTTGGGGCTTTTTTGTTGAGCTGAGGAATTTCCACCACCGAAGCAATGTCCCAGAGACCAGTTAGGACACATCTATGATTGTCTCTGACGAGACAGGTCTCCTTAAGACGCTTCTGGTCGCTCCGAGTTGGAGAGGATATCATGATGCCGGCCCAGCTATCACGTTCTTCTACGGCGTTCTCAAACGGCGAGACTGACGCATTTGGAGTTCTGCCCCCACCCGCCTTCACTATCAAGGGCCATTTGTGAAACCTGATTTCTCCAATCAACTCAGGTTGACCACTTACTAGGTACGAGGATAGCAGTTGTGAGATGAAGAGCGATTTGGTGTAACTGTGTGTCGGTGGCATTTTCGTGTACGAGCTTGAGCATGACTTTCTTGCCGTGGAGAGGCAAGTGACTAACGAAAGCAGAGAGGACTTCTGGGGTATCGTCGGCAGGGTGACGGCGTCTGTAATTTCTTACTCGCGCAAGACAGCTTTCGCAGGCGGTATTGATTAGATCAGGGTCGGAGGGGGGTTCGAGAGAAATCGAGTCACCCAAATTAGACATGACTGATGAGAGATCGTGGTCAAAGGCATTTTCGTCCGTCATTATTGCAATGCTGAACAAGTTTTGGTGATTGTATATGACATGTCGCTGAACTACAAATAGACTCATAGTTCTGTGACAAGCGCCAAGGCTTACATCATCACCAACCCCGTACTCACGTGACTGTAGATCGTAACTCGGGTTTCTTCAATCTCTAAACGGAGAAGTCCATTCTGGCACGTCTGAGCAACATAGCCGAACAAATGAACGATCGAGGGCATACTCTACATTTCAATATCCACTGAACCTGACAGCGTCGCTTCTGTTGTTGGAAATTCCTGTTTTATGTTCGTTACCCTCGCGGTTTTCGTCAATCCCTTTTGTCCTCGGCAAGGCAGCGGCCAGTCTAGAAAACTATATTTGCGTTTATAAAGCTAACTTAACCAAAGTAGCCAGAACACAACATAAAGGAGTGCGGGAGTGGGACCTCAAAAGATTATAAACAAGCAAGACAACGCAGAAAAATATGGCTGCTCTTAGTGAAGATTTGCTCGTGACCGTCAACAAGTTACAAGACTTAGTCTTCAATACAATTGGGAACGACTCTCTTGATCTCCCGCAAATTGTGAGTTTTTTTCTGTTAAATATACGTAATTGAAGGATACTGTTAGAACTAACTTGGCTTTTTTAGGTTGTAGTTGGTTCGCAGTCATCGGGCAAGTCGTCGGTACTTGAGAATATCGTCGGTCGAGACTTCCTTCCCCGAGGAAGCGGCATTGTCACAAGGCGACCTTTGATTCTCCAGCTCATAAACGTTCCTAGTGAGCGTGAGGACAAACCCGAAGGACATGATATCCATATCCCGCACACGGCTGCCAGTGTGGCAGGACAGCATGAATGGGCAGAATTCCACCATCTCCCTGGCCGGAAATTCGAAGATTTTGCTCAAGTAAAGCAGGAGATCGAGGCTGAAACCGCGAGAATAGCCGGAAGCAACAAAGGCATCAACAGACAACCTATAAACCTCAAGATCTTTTCCCCTCATGTGTTGAACCTCACGATGGTTGACCTCCCTGGTCTAACTAAAGTTCCGATCGGAGATCAACCGTCAGATATAGAAAAGCAAACGCGCGCTCTGATTCTAGAGTATATCGCGAAACCCAACAGCATTATCCTTGCGGTCTCCCCGGCGAACGTTGATCTTGTGAACTCAGAAGCGCTGAAACTCGCTCGACAAGTGGATGCCATGGGGCGAAGGACAATCGGTGTCTTGACGAAGCTGGACCTCATGGATCACGGCACGAATGCGATGGACATACTGTCTGGGCGTGTTTATCCATTGAAGCTGGGTTTTATCGGGGTTGTCAACCGCTCCCAGCAAGACATCCAGTCTGGAAAGTCGTTGTCGGATGCACTGCAAGCAGAAGTTGACTTCTTCCGACACCATCCTGCTTATCGAAACATGGCGACTCGCTGCGGAACCCACTTTCTGGCAAAGACCCTGAATTCCACTCTAATGTCCCACATTCGAGATCGCCTGCCGGACATCAAAGCGCGTCTTAATACTCTCATGGGCCAAACACAACAAGAACTGGCCAGCTACGGTAATAAGCAATTCAGTGGGAAGGAGCACCGCGGGTCCCTTATATTGCAGCTGATGACGCGTTTCGCTTCTTCTTTCATATCTTCGATTGACGGAACCTCATCCGAGATTTCTACGAAAGAATTATGTGGAGGGGCCAGAATTTACTACATCTTCAATTCAGTCTTCGGCAACTCCTTGGAAACAATTGACCCGACTTTCAATCTCTCCGTGGGCGATATCAGAACTGCTATCCGAAACTCGACCGGGCCCCGTCCAAGTTTATTCGTTCCAGAGCTGGCATTCGATTTACTCGTGAAGCCCCAGATTAAAATGTTAGAGTCTCCTAGTCAGAGATGCGTTGAACTTGTATATGAAGAGCTCATCAAAATATGCCATACCTGTGGATCTCAAGAACTTTTGCGCTTCCCTCGTCTTCAAGGGAAACTCATCGAAGTGGTATCAGACCTTCTCCGTGAGCGTTTGGGCCCTTGCTCAACATACGTCGAGTCATTGATCTCGATTCAAAGAGCATATATAAATACTAACCACCCCAACTTCCTTGGGGCAGCAGCAGCGATGTCTTCTATTATTCAGAACAAGCAGGACCAGGAAAGGAAGGCAGCGCTTGCAGAGGACAGGAAAAAGCGCGAGAAAAGACGCCTTAAAGAAATCGGCGGTGTCAATGGTAACCAAGCAGGTTCCCCTGAGGACGAGGGTGAATATCAACAGTCCGAACAAAAGGCACAAAACATACCTTTCCGAGGACAGTCCGCAAAGGGAGCCCGGAGTATGTCCCCCCACATTGGTAAGGGGCAAGAAAGTGGAATTACAGCAACGTTGAACGGCCCCCACTCCGTCGGGCAGTCTGCATTCGGGGCTACCAATACCACTCGCGATTCGTTCCTCAATTATTTCTTTGGCAAGGATGGCGTGCAGACCTCTGGACCACCTCCCCAGCCTCCAAGCCAAGCCAGACAGCTTAATCACCCCAGTGATCCCACCGTCAGTCAAAGCATCCGACGGGGTGATATTCGCTCCCCCGTGCTGTCGCCGGAGGAATTCATCAATCCACCAGATTATGGGAACGACCTTACCTCCCTTGTAAGTTAACACCCTTCCAACTTATCCTTGAAAGTGGCCTGGGCTAATTTCAAATCAAAGGAGAACCCAGAGCCGGCTGTATCCGATCGTGAAATGCTGGAGACAGAGCTTATCCGGCGGTTGATATCTTCCTATTTCGATATAGTCAGGGAGACTATCGCCGATCAAGTTCCCAAGGCCATCATGCACCTTCTTGTCAACCACAGTAAGGATGTTGTGCAAAACCGTCTTGTTAGTGAGCTTTATAAGGAGGATCTCTTCGCCGAACTGCTGTACGAAGATGATGGCATCAAGGCAGAAAGGGAGAAGTGTGAGAGACTCCTAGAAACCTACAAGGAGGCGGCGAAAATCGTCGGCGAAGTCTTGTAAGATACGATGCTCTTGCTGTGTCCATTCGCTACAGGGCGGTTGGACATTTCGGTTAACACAAGGAGTTCGAAAATGTGTTCTTGTTCCTGTACATTAAAGTATAGATCTTGAACTTGGAAGAAGAGGGATATGTTTGTACTTATATTTCCTTTCAGAATTATCTTAATTCCATTTTTATGTCTCAGCAGCAAAACTATTTTGTATATATCAGACTAAGAAATCCATGATGCTAAACTCATGCCGATCCAACGGCCAATGAGCTATTTTTAATCCTCAGGTTACCACTGTCTGTAGAATGAAGTATGCCCATATGAATGGGGATATCTACAACGTGCCTGATGCTTTACTCTATGTCCAAACAAATATAATATAGCATACAATGTTCAAGTGAGCATCAATGAAAAAAAAACTCCACCGACAATAATGAAAACGCCATCTGTGGAACGCAGTGTTATGGCGCTCATTCTTTCTTGAGAGCTTTCCTCGGTCGTGTACCTGCAAGGCCATATAACGCACCACCCACGAAAACAAAAATTGCTCCAAATGACACCCCAGACGTAAGATCATTGCCAAACAGATAGATGGATAGTAGAAGAGACACGAGCTTTCGGATATTCAGGACTATTGTCACTGTCAAGGAGGACGATTTGGCAGAGAGCAGATGCACACCACGGATACACAGGTACTGGGTCAGTGCATTGAGGATCAGGAAAATCACTTGCGCAGGGGTAGAGACCAGAATTGACTGGATGCTGTCGTTATTTCGGAGCACTTCAAAAAGGCGCAACGCGGCATGGTTGAGATATGAGCGGACTGGCTGTGCACATGTTTTCGTGGTGGCGTCGGAAAACAGAACACCGGAGAGCCCAAGTTCTGCATTTCGAGAAAGCAATGGCGGTGATAAAAAGAGCGAGTTCCATTCAGTGGAAAGATTCGAGTAGGCGCCTAGGAAAAGCGGCAAAGAAAGCGTATGGGAGTAGAACAGAGCTTCTTTCCAATGCTCTCTGCCGTAAGTCGCATACAGCTTATCGGCGTATATTCCTTGAAACGAAGAAAGTACCATTGCCAAAACAAGGATGCTAAATCCAGTTACGGCTCTAGCAAAAGAAGAGTCATCTTTCTGATCGGTGTTGGTAATTTGACCCTTGGACTGGGCATCGGCCAATGCAGCCATAGCTACACCCAGTGTGAGCATTGCCACGCCCACAATTTGGCCTTGGGAGTACTTCCTGGAGCTGAAGAGACGTCCAACAATCATAGAAGCTACTGGACCACCGGACCTTAAGATAATGTGGAGTGGGACGGAAATCTTATAGGCAAAAGCCCAATTATTCAGCATGTTAATGGTCACAAAGAATGCGGTATACGCAAACCACGAGCTCAATGGGATGATGTTCTTTTTGAAAAACAATGCCCGAGGTCCTGCTGAAAAAGATATAAAGCTTGGAAATGTAAACAGCGCAGTCAGTAAAAACTGCGCAAATGTTATTAGAGGGCCTGTGATATTATAGAGTTAGCAAGAATCGCAGGCGTCTATAAAGGATCAGATCTAACCTGCGCGTGGCCGATCTCTAATACAAAAGAGTCAGTAAATTCTCTAGATATAATAGGCCCGACCTTTCATCTGCCATTATCGAATATTCCAACTTGACTTACTTGATAATAGTCTCTAGTGTAAAAACCTATTTCACCCGTTAGTACAGTCATGCTGAAGTGTGGATATACACTCACATTAGCACAGCAACCACCAAATATTAATGAGACCATGATGACCACAGTTTTCCAACTAGAGAGGATAGTTTGGATCACTGCATTTCTAAGTTCAGATGATGTTGTTCTATGTAGCTCTGTGTCTCCATGACCATGCTCATTTCCAGACTGTTCAGAGCACGGTTTTTGTGCCTTCTCCGTTGGTTCTTGACTAGGGCGCACATAATTATAATCACGGCGATTATCAGACTTTGATCCACGGGATCTTGTTGTTGAAGGACCAGAATCAATTCCACCAGACACTCTTTGTGCACCTGAAGAGGCCACAGATGACATCACGTATCTTTAGGGCGTTGATGCTGCTAGAAGAGACCCAGCTAAATAATCAGCCCTGTACAGGTATCAGAGACAGTAAAACAAAGCAATGACAGTAAAATATCAAAAATATGAATGAACGCGATGGCCAGAATAATTACTCGGCGGAGTGAGTTCACTGGCGCAGACCTGCAAGGGCCATGTGGTTTGTTTTGGTTTGACTCGCCCGAATTAGCTTGATTAGTGTACTGTTATCAATCGCTCGTTATCAATCACTCGAAATCTGCGCTGGGCTTACAGAGCTTCAGATTCATCACTTTGTTAACGTCTCCAATTTACCAAATACTATACAGGTTAGAAGTGATCCGTGAGACTTATGTATTTCAAGCAATAGATGCAATAAACTTATTAGAGATCGTGTGAAACATAGCATAAATACATTAACTCTTCGGATATCCGGAAGAGATATATATGTACGGAGTAGTTTGTAAATTTTTAAATTACGAGGTGTTCCTACCGTGAGGGGGTCCATTAGAGCCTTGTTGAGATTATACGTGTATTGTGATATAAATGTCAAATGCGCAAAGGATATCCAATAAAACCAACGCAACCCTTATGCATCTGATAAATTGCTTCACTCCTTGAAAACCATCTAAACTCCGAAGTGGGACCATGGAAAATCCAGATAATACACCATGAATACCGTCAAGGGCCAACCAGGGCGCGCAGGAGGCAATCAATCATCCACAATATCATCATCACTCAGGATGAGGTTATCATCCCCAAGCGTCTCAGGGTTGCAACTTTTGCGATTATTTTGGTGGTTAGAATATGCTGCTTTTAAAGGCCGCGAGGCGCCGTAGCTGAGTGATTCTTCCGGCGGAGCATTGCTATCGCCGTGAGAGACCCCAGATAAGGCATGCCCTCGGGGTTCCCTTTCGCTAAAACTGGTCAATTCCTTCAGATCTCTCTGTTCTGTCTCGTCGGAACAAATTCCAGCCATATATGGCAGCTGGTCGAGCAACAATTCGTTACGAGCGATCATGGTGGTAGCAAAATGTTGCAGATCACCGCGGTTGCACACCGTGGATTCCCGGTCCGGTTGAGCCTTATCCGACGCAAATCTTTTGCTGAGACCACGGCTTCGAGTTGGTTCAGCGGATCCGTTGAGTAATTTGTTTGCCCACATGTCTACGAAGCCTTGAGTTTCCTCAGCAGAGCGCGCACACCGCAATGCAGGCGAAAAAAACATCCTATGAGGATCTCTTTTCACTGTACCAACCCTAGTTGATAACTGCCGTTTGACTGGGTATGGTAGGGCGAACAGTATACCCCGTGCGGCAACCTGATAGCTGATCTCATTCTGTCGTAGGGCATCGACCCCCACGTTTGCATTCGTGCCAGCGAAATTAGAAACATGAGGTTTTCGAGAGCCTCTACGACCGACCGACAACAGATCGCTGTCCGACAACGCCTCCATGCACCCGTCAAGGTAGCCCGTGAACGATGGACCGTTGCAAGATAAAACATAATTTTCATGCAGGGTACTGATGAATGTTTGGGCATCCGTCCCTGCCTCTTCTATAAGATCGTTGACAGATACCTGGGAGATCTTTGGCCTATCGTGATGAAGCATGTAGGCCGGGGGGGTGGGCAGTTTGGGACTGTCTGTAAGGCTTGGATCTTCCCGTTTATTATACACAACTTTCCCGACTGCGTGGAAGATGCCTAAACTTGTTTCTCTCTGAGATATTAGTGCTAAGATGTCCCTTTCTGAAGAGGTTAGAGATATGTCTTTTGGGGTTCGCGTTTTCTTCTTAGTCGCAGGCCTTGTCCAATGCATCCCATTGCTGCATTTGAGGCAGAGAAACTCTAGGGAGGCAATCGCACTCCGAATATCTCCCGTTTTAGAAATATCCTGAAGGACAGCAGGTCCCGGCATTTTCTCCCGCTTTGAACAGCGGGCCTCTTTTTCGAGAACCAATTGCAAAGCCTTGTTCATGAAAGTTGGGGCAACCTTGTTGAAATCAAGGACATTTGTACTAAAATGGTTAAGGATTTGTGGTCCAAGTAATCGATGGGCGGTTAAGTTTTCTGCGACTGAATATCCGGAGTTGAGGTCGTTTTCAGAAACAACGATAATTATGGGAGGAAGAGACGATGCGCTGTTATTACCACTTGGAACTAGTGATACCGGCATGGCAAGGTATTGCTGCAGAGCCCGCCTGAAAGCAGTCAAACTAGAAACTTCTCGGAAGAAGGTTGTTGGAAATTCTTCAATAAGAATTACACGTTGTGTATCCCGTTTTCTGACGGGATTTGTCGGCGTCAAAGCATCGTGGCGGGAGTTAGAGTCATTTTGATGCCAATTTGAAGGCCTAGCTCCATCCAAATCGAGTTCTTGGTACTGATTACCTCGTTGGAGGAATTCATCGAACTGAGTAGCAAAAGATACGTATCCATTTTTGGAAAACTCGGAAGCTGGGGGGTTCTTCCACTCGACGATCTCAAATTCCAACTTATCGGACAACAAAGACACAGTGGTTGTTTTGCCGCTTCCTGCTGGGCCTCGAAGAACAAGGAGCCTCTATTAGATATTAGCAAGGCATAATAGGATGGAGGAAAGGTTAGAACACCACCAGGCGAACTAGAGATAACGGAAAACGTACATTGTTGTTATTCCCAGCGAAAGCGCTATATAGCCAATTTTGTACAGCCGATACCTTCTTACTATGAACTGCCAACTCATCTAGGCTGAGAGGTGGGTACTGCTGCGCCCATGGTAATCGCTCACTTTCCAAGGAACTTGTGCACGTATCTGGTGTTCGAGAAATAGAGTCCGGTGTGATAAGGAATCGTTTTGTTGAGTTAGGAGGATTTTTTTGTTTTTGTTTGGAAGAGGCCGGCCGATGTGGAACTTGAGACCTTGTTTGAACCTCCGAAGGCTTTTGAATCGTGACAGGATCATCCAAGAAATGTTGCGTAAATAGTTCGTCAAAGGAGTCATAATCATCTTCAATCATGTCATCCTCGTCATCGCCCCTCTCTGGGTCTATACTCGGATTGCATGGTGTTTCGACTTTCTGCGGCGAATGTTGCCGCTTGGAACATGCGGGCTCGGAAGACGTGCGAACGGAGGTACACACCGATGAAACGCGTGACGGGGGACATCGTTTTGTTGAAAGTTGTTCGCATTCGGTATGAGGGTTTTCTCCCCGCCGACTCTTCTTTTCTTTGCCTTGGCTGTTCGTATCCTGTCCATTTGGGAAACGTAAACTTTCCTGATCAACCCGTTCTCCAGAGTCAGCGTCCGTCGCCTTGACGCTTGATTTCCGTTGCCTTTTCGGGGGGCGAATTGTCATCTTGACGGTCCTTTGGTAAGATTGAGAGAATTCATTGCATGAGAACAGGAGCCATTGTCATTTAGCTTCAAGATGGAAGTCCCTGCAGTTGGTACATCAATTCGATGGTGGTGAGGTTCGTTGTAATATGTATTAGTAATAATCAAGAACTTCAATCCGAGGTATTTATGGATTACTACTACACCATAGTACGGACTGAAAGATTGTGCATATAATAGGTATATTATCTTTTACATATATATATATACCTTCTCTACCTCATACTTCGCTTACAAGGATATGACTCTAGCCTAGAGTGTATTGACGCCTGTCCTCCTGGGAGGCTTCTATATAAATGTCCTTGTCAACTTGTATTCTATAGTTAACGCTAGAATCTTTCAACCCATTTTCATTGCTACCAGATCAGTTCTCATAAAACAAGAGTATACTTATGTAGCATGTGTGAAATGATGGGCATAGGTTGATATACGTGCACGTTCATATGTTTGTTTATTCCAAATACGCAGAGAATGCAAATCAAAATATAGTCAAATGGCTATATTGCTGCTGGTCAACAGGCTTTCACAAGGGCCCTTGGAAGCGTCTGGGATTATTCGAAGGGCACCGCCCCACCGGCGAACAGAAAATAATTATAAGTATTAATCAAGAAAGTGAAGAAGATTAGAAGTATTGTTGAGTAAACCATAGCGCGCAAAAAGGATCCCACCCCTACGCACCGCCAAAGACATCATAGTAATAATCCTCGTTAAGGCCGTCCCGAGAGGGCACGCTTGGGGCATCGCTTGCAAAGATTGCGTCGTCGTATCGAACGTTCAATAGGCGGATCTTGAGGCCGTAATTCCCGACCAAGTCGATCATGTCATTCGTTTCTGAGGTGATGGGCTGTTGGTTGAGCAGCATGAGCAAGCCGTCGAGCCATTCGGAGGCGACGCTAGGAGTCTCTGGGCAAAGGCTCAGAAGGACACCCTCTCCCTGGGTCGTCTTGCTATTCGTGCGAGTATGGCCGCCGCCTTTTGGAGGTTCGTTGGTAGAGGAGGTAGACTGAAAACCATGGATTGTGATTTTAGTGGAAGACACAGGGCAAGATACACTCTTGGCAGTTGACGAAGAGTCATCCGGCGATGATGAGACATTGGAGACTACCGAGGAAACGTTTGACAACTCAACTAGAGAAATCATTAGCTCTAAGAGTAGGCAAAAAAGAAAAGGGGTAGGATTGTACTCACGTTTTTCTGGTAAAGCATCAAGTTCCGGACTTCTCTTCTCTATTGCGTCGAAATCTCCGAAGTGTAGAACCCTTCGATTATGTGAAAGTTGGACGAATTTCCAACCGGGATCCCGAGATGAGGTCAACTCTGACTTCGGTGGACCATCATTGCGGAACCAAGCGCCTTGTAATAAGCAGCGAACCCTCTGTTCCTTGATGAAATGGAGCGCCTCGTGATGCAATTCCTCGCGTACTTGCCGTAGATGTTGACCCCAGACATCCTCATATGTGAGCTCTAGTAATTCCATCTGGAGCTCGCGAAGTCGGCTGTATTCGAAGTTGGCTAATTCTTCCTCCACATCATGGACGTCTTTCGTTCGCGGTGCACCTCCAACCACAGACTCCACGAGAATGCGAACTAGTTCAACAATCTTCTCGTAATCCTCCAACTCCGCCCCGGTGGCTTTCCACAAGCGGAAAAAGGCATAGAGTCCCGCAACGTGTAGCCGAGTCCAGTGCAATAACAGAGGTTTGAACACCTTGTCTAAACCAGACCTAGACTCTAGGATCAAATAACTCTTCGCATCTTCCATCTCAGACTTGTCGACTTCAAAATGTTCGTATAATATTGACGTGACGGATAAGGAGGCGCGAGCGATAGGGCAACGCTGCTGCATTGGCTTGGTTGACTGCTCTAAGAGAATCCTTTGATATTCATCTTGATGGCTTCTGGCGTAGTCCGCCAGGTCCATCATCCCTAGGAAACCCATGTCTTCGAACTGTGCCACTGGACTCTCGGTCGCGAATCCAAGTCGCCTCCATTTGTCGGGATTGTGCTTCTTTGACCGGCGCACCTCGTTAGGGCTACCGGATGTTTTCCCAGAGTTCCTTTCCTGTTGGCTTGCCAGATGTATCCCTTTCAACGCCCTCCTATGCTCTGGTTTCTCTAGATCCAGACGAATCTCTCGCCATTTTCTCAGAAGAACTTTCGTAAGTGACTGGAACTCGATGAGGGGATGCGCGTGGTCCTGCAGCGCGCTTCCTTGCATGAGACAATAGACAGCGCGAATCACCCCCAGATCTTGTAGTTTTTGAATGAATCTGGGCCATTCCGATTCCGAATCGTTTGTGATCGAGTCGCGCATAAGGGAATTGATCAACTGGAGCGCATTGGCACAGAGCGCATGATCTGCTGAGGAGAGTCGGCTGACAAGCATCTCCAAGAATTGTGGATATATGGCTATCGCGGGTTTCAAGGCTCGAAACCCAAAAGTTCCCTTTTCCGGCGCATTGCTACCGTTGGTATAAGGGTGGGATACAACAGAGACTAGGATGGACATTGCGCCGCGCAAGATATTCACCAATGGGTGGGTTACTATAAGCTCGACAATCTAAAGAGGGCGGCGAATATATCGGTAAGTAGCTGGTCATGGAAGGGGGCTGATAAAGACCGGGTTTTGAGAGTCGCGCATTGATCTGAATACATACCCTTTCAACCACTTCTTGGTCTACAAATTCCCAACCCTTGTCGACTTCGAGCAACCTGGCAAAACTTGTTAGACTATATGCTAGAGTATTACCACTCGCATGCAAGGCCAGATAACGGAGTCTGGTCAATCCTCCTTCCGCGATGAAGATATCCGCAAATGAAGGATCCCCAATGCTGCTTTGCAGTTTGAAAACCGCCATTTTTCGTACTGCATCTTCATCGCTCCCGAGTCTTTCGACCAGTTCCGAGATGTTGTTCTCCATTGCCACACGAATGTCTTCCCGCTTGGCCGCGGGTTTAGGAGATAAAAGTAATCTCAGGAAGTCAGAGAGCTTCGCGCGGAAAGTAGTGTATTATCAGGTGGTGTACGGACTACGGAGAAGCGCATCTCCATCTCCTCACGGGGGGGCAATGGATCCACAGTAAGGGACATATAGCCCGGTTGCCAAGAAGTCACTAATCGTATAGTATGCTCAGACTCCGTGGAAGATCTCGTCAATGGTACGGAGAACACCAAAAACCTCCACTCCGTACTATGGTCCGTATTTACGTAGTAGATAGCTTTAGTATTTCACGTAATGTACCACCAGTAGGCCCTGCAGTGGCCGTGGCCTGTATTGTTCCGGACAGCGATCAGCGCTATTGATCAGAGATCAAGACATGGGAGAAGGTCCATACTTACTAGGTTAGTATACTCGCCTGGAAGTATCGGCGGTCAATGATATGGTCAGCGTCAGCCAACTTGAAGGCGTTTATGGGATGCATTAACGTTCCGTCAGCCTGGGCGAATGGATTAGATCAGTTAATGTATAATATTATGACGAAGAACAAAACTGATCACTGTAATTATTGAATTCAGCTGTTTATTAATTAGCAGGAACTTGTTTGTAAACTCTTGTAATCGCAAAGCATACCACCTTTCAGGTGTAGTGTTCCTAGCGCCAATTCTTGAACCCGTATTATGGAGTGGAGAGCCTGTTCCTGAATTTTCCAAGCCACCAATAACTACTTTGGAGTACAGTAATAACAGCAACCTCGCTCCCGGAGGATCCTCTTCGAACACCGGCCCCACCTCTTGCTATCTATCGTTCTGCTCTTCTCTGGGTCGATGTCAGCTTTTCTTTGTTATACACCCGTGTTTTCATCCACTTGTTTCCTCCCTTGATCCGCTCTTATCTGTGAGTGAGCTCAGCTTCAGAGAACCCAACAGCGGCTCCCGTCATCCCATGATGCCAGGCGTCATGGCCGAACATCATATGTCGCCTTCCAGTTTCAAGAAGCGAAAGAGGAATCAAACCGATCTCATCAGTCCGGCTGACTCGTAAGTCAACAATCAATCACCAATGCAGGCAACTTGGGCTAGCTCCATTCCCCAAGCACTTCATAATGGCCCTCTTTAGATAGGCAAGGACTTATCAAACAACTCGGAAAAGAGAGAGAGAGAGAACAGGCTTGGGGAGGGAATGCAGAGCAAGCCACACCTCATAAGACTTGGGACAAGAACTGACTGGCCAATTCCTATAGCACAAGACTTTTTCCCCCGACCCATAATCTGAATTCTCCCTATGGCATCGGATATCGAGATCAACCCAAGGACAATGAAGGATTCCAAACCCGTCAATCATGTCTTTCGAGGAAACGCCGTCTCCTTCAACAACCTTACATACAAACCCGACCCAGCGACATGTATCAACCACATCAAACCAGCATGACCCAAGCAAAGTATTTGCCACCGAATATCTGCATCTCTTCCTCCGACATATCCTCGCCCCCAGTGTCTCCGAAGACCTTGGTTTCCTATCCGCAGCCACATAACTCCTGCACCGCTGCCTCATCCCTCCGACCCTGTCACATATGCCACAGAAAGCCGACGACGAGAGAAGCTCTCAACGCATACACCGATTGTGGCCTATGTGGCCAACGAGCATGCTATATCTGTGTCCGACAATGCGATTCGCTTGATTG